GAAGGGGGACGGGGCACCTACCTCCCAGCCTCCGGCGCGGCGGCGTCGCATCTCCAGGAGGGCGGCGCACAGAAGACGCCGACCCATCTGCCAACACACACACTCGCTAGCCATTGGGCCTACGCGCTACTCAGCACTACATCAGCAGCGGCGGAGGCGGCGAAGTGGAAAAACAATCCAACGCACAAAGGGGGAGGCACATGGGGTTCAATGACCGAGACATTGTGACTGTTTATTACCTAATAGACAACACAATTTCAAGCGAAGCCGCTGGCTATGATATCAGAGAACTACGATATCCTAAGAGCAAGCGAAAGAAGAAAAAATAGAGATATTTTATTCTAGGAGTTTAGATTTATAAGTTGCAATGATTGCAAGCGATATGGACAAATCCATTTCTGAACACAATCACTACCTACGTTGCAATAATCGTAAATTCATAAACCACCAAACACGAGTTGGCCGTCGCATCGACAGCATTACACCTCAGTTCTGCTAATGTCCTTCTGACAGTCCAGTAAATTGATTTTATTTATTTCTTTCCCCATCTCTCTCTTTCTCACATACACACACACACACACACACACACACACACACACTAACAAAATGACTACGTGAATGTCATATACTACAGGAAATTGATTACATAATGATTGTTTTGGCGGATGAACAAATAACAAACAACTTCGAAATTCTACCATAACGTAAGGTATGCGGCCGCGAAAAGGAGGTCGCATTCTATCTCCTATTACGGACACAGGCCGTCGCCAGCTACTTCACAAACGAGAAGCCTCTTATCGGTAGCTAATCGCCAAAGGCTACTGGAAGGAGCGACCAAATCCGACAGAGGCCAAGCGACTAAGTGGGTAAACACAAGTCCTCCGTCTCGTGGTCTCCGCGTTCCACGTGGCCTTGTTCATGCGCGCTGCTTGGCGGAACCTATGAGTAGATAGCTGCTTTCTCACACATCACGTCGCAATCTAACATCTAAAATGACACGGAAGAAAAACAAAGCTAATGAAAGTGAGCCAAATTTTGTAACTTGTCAGTGTACGTAGAAAAACGAGGAAATCATAACTCGTATCGGTTTTAAATACTTTTTTATTTATTTATTTATTTGGCACCGTATCTTTGCAAAGCCAAGTAATCATGGGATAAGGAAATGGCAGGCGTAGTTTTATTGTAGTATTCTAATTTAGCATAAAGCTTTTTTCGGTCGCCCTATGCTATAACCTATCATTATGCAAAATTAAAATACTATAATAAAACTATGACCTATATTTCCATTTGCAATGACGATCATATTACAAACCCCGCGCCACTTCCTACTAATAATGCAGGGTGTACTCTACGTTTACCGGAAAACCCCCAAATGAAGTATCAAACATGTAACAATCTATTACATTTTGGAACCTGATGTTTAAATCCGATTTCGCCAAGATTCCGAAACAGATGCGGTGGTAAGTTGTAGGACCGTCAATTCCACATCATTTAATTTACGGAGAGAACCTGAAGTGAAGCACCCACGCTCTGCCCCACTCCGCTCCCCCTTTATTGGAATTTTCCAAGGGTGAGATACATTGCAAAAAATATCGTTGGGTAATGCTCACATTAGAACGCTTGAAGCTGTACATCTCTCCAGGCACATGAACAACCTCGCGCCGAGATAGACTCAGCGGAAATTTCACGCGTCCCGCGAACCTCGCACAAGAGCGCTCCCATGAAAGTACATCGTCGACGCTCAGAGCGGGACGTGCCCGGGTGGTGCGTGCCGGGCGAGGGAGACGCTGCGTGGCGTGACGTATTGGACGTGACGCGCGCGGGCGGCCGCGAGAATTCCACGCATTGCGTAGCGCCTTGCGTCACCGCGATGGCGGCGGCGGCCTCCGCCGACGTCACACCGGCGCAGCCTCCGGCTCAACTCCCGGCTCATCCGCCGGGGGCGTCGGGGTCGTGCCGCGAATACAGTCCCTCGACACAAGAGTAGCGCACACCTTTGAGCCACCGATTCCGCCAGTTTATATCCGAAGGTGTCCGAAGACTTCGAACTTTGCGATATAGTGTGTATTGACAGTCACCGATGCATTCAAAATGAATGTGCTCTAAAATCTTAATCTTGCTTCCTATTATTATTTCACCTTATCTACATATTTTTTTCCTGGAGGGTCTATCCGGTTGGAGGATATTAAATAGCGGCGGTTGCGCTTCTCTCTGTATCTGGGGACTGGAGCCCCGAAAACACGGGACGCCGCCACAAGTTATATAGTAATGTAGGTCTGCAATTCCCAACCTTTTTTCTCCTACTGAACCCTTTCTAAAAGATAAGGTAAATTGGTCAACTCTCTAACTTTAGTAAGAGTTCAGAAACCAAAGTGTTGTTAATTTTTGTTTCCATATCCAGAAATGACCAATGAATTAATTTATAGTGCCCACAAGTACTACAAAAAAAGAACAACAAAGAACATACTCCAGCAAAACAACGAGTGCGCGAGCCAAAAAACATGGAATGTTATAGCACCGGAGAAAGACAAAAACATCATCAGATCGACATCATTACGAAAGCAAACGTATGGTAAAATAGTTCGTAACACACCGGCGCAGAGTTAGGCGTCCGCATACCGGGCGAATACGTCTGCACAAACACTTTACCTCCAGGCAACGAAGGTCAACCTCCCAACTTCGCACACTGGACCTTGGTTCACGCATGTGTTTCCACTCGCGTCGGGAGGAATGCTGCGTACGCCGCTCTCGGGCCGCTCACGTAAGTGTGTCTCCGGGGCATGCAACACTCGACGCGCCGCGCCGCACCGGTCGGCCGGTTGGTTGGTGCCGTCGCCAGCACAAAGAGAATCAGCGAAAACACAATGTGGCAAAATTTCAAGTGCGTTTGGATGTTGGTAGTGTGGACAGAAATAGTTCAATTCACCTTCGTCTTCATATCGAATTGCCAATCTAATATAGTTTATTTCCAGAAACACGTTGACTTAACCCGACCTGTCAAGAACATAATATTGATGTCTACCCTCTTGATTGCATTGCTAATCCGTTTCAACTGGCAACGTCATTCAGGAAAAGTTTTTAACTGCTTCAACAGTTTACTACGCAACGTTAAAATTTACAATATATCAATCACAATTCCTTAACATTCCAGTTGCCTTATCATTAACAAGGAAAGGAAATGAAGTAATTAGTATGGAATTTTATACAAAGTAGGAGACATTGGCTAGCATAATAAAGACCCAGGGGGATAGCAAAACGCTTACCTTGAGTACATTTCGGTTGACAGCGCTAAGTGCTGTCAACCGATGGAGGAGTTCTCATCACATTTAAAATTCCGCCCATGATCAAACCAGGATATTACCTAACTCGGCCGCCTGTAATCAAGATGTGACAGAGGAAACGTGTCGCAAATTCCACTGAGTCCTTGGCTTACGAGTTCCACACGTATCAATTAACGGACCACACCGCGTGTGGGATCTCGAGAATATAGAGCGAAGGAGGCAGAGTGTTGAGAGGTTCCATAGTTGCGTTCCTTCCCTTCGCCAAAGCCCGTCGCCAACCCGTTGTCGTCGGGTTGAGCCAGCGTGGGACAGGGCTATTCCCAGTCTCCTCACTTTTCAAGACACGTACGTTCCTCGCATACTGAAACATAAGTCGACCTACGCAGTGCAAGCTGTCGCGACGGTGGTAATCGCTCTATGTGAACCGAAAGGTAGTGGGTTTGAACCCTCCGTAACGCATGTTTTCTTTCATCTTGGGATTGTAGGGTAGAAATCAATAGGTAAATCAAAGTGTATTCCGTATAATCGCTTTTATCTTCATTCAAAGCAGTATTGTTTTCTGATACTCCCACCAACACAAACCTCTAAAGATACGGCAGGGTTAGGGTTAGGTGATTCGAATGCGTTTTAAGACGAATTTATTTACCAAATGCAACAGTTGTTCATGGTTAGCAACTTTTCGTTAGATACAATGATGATGCAATACGTTGATATCAAACAAAATGTTTATGAACAATAAGTAAATTGCAACAAAATATAAATGACATTGAACATTATTTAAATTGCCAATATATTTGATATATAAATCCAAGGAGGGCACGAGAAGGGGCATGCCTCTTTCCTTGCAATTTATTGGATTAAAATAATATATTTTTAATAATAATCATTTTATATGATTCTAATTCTCTATATTATCCATGAAGAACTGACGTACTTCAATACAAATATTAAATAGTTCCAATTAAAAACAAATTCAATTAAAAGACAAGTTTTCTTCATTTTTGTTAAAAGGCACCCATGTAATTATGTTTAGTACACCGAAATATCTATTCTCTCTGTTCCTCTTACGGCGGCGTCACGCCGAAACCAGCCCCTCGGCAGGAGGCCTGGCCTGACCTCGGCCGGCCCGCCGCCTCCGCGGCAGGTCAAGGAAGGCGCGGTGAACGAACGAGCGGGTGGCTCCCGCCGCTTCCTGTTTCCCGGAGGCCAGCTGCGCCGTTCGTTATCCCGCCGCCTCCGCACCAGGCGAGGCGAGGCGCTCCGCACCGTACACCGGCTGACGTCAGTTCAGAGCCAGCATTGCCGCTGTCTTAGCAGCGATTCTGACCGGGAGGTCGTAAGGTTCGAGCCCCGACGGTGGCGGATTTGCGATACTATTGTCAGATTTAAAAATACTGACTTGTGACAGATCAACAGTGACGCGGTTATCCAATCGGAAGCTGCAATGCCAAAAATTAAAGTTGTAACGATGTTCTTGACAAGAGCGTTAAGCAGATATAATATAGCACAAGTCGCTATATTTAAATTGGGCAACAGGTAAATGGCTGGTCTCAGCCGCTATTTTGTTGAGAATTCTAGCGGCCGCCAGCGCAGATCCATGGTTTTCCCTAGTTACTTCGATCAATGCCTCAAGCACACGTCAGAACGATGTCTTTGCAAACGGACCATGGACCGCACGCGATCTTTCCTTCCTCTTTCTTGTTCTATCATCTCTCTTTCCCTCTCCCCTTCCCCCTCCCTATCTCACACACACACACACACACACACACACTTACAACCTCAACACTACCACACAAGTCGGGAGAC